GGCCGCCCCCGCGGAGGGATGGGCGGTGGGTGAGGTCGCGGGCAGCCTCGTGGGGTAGGGGGGTCGTTTTGGGAGGGAGTTTGACAGGGGGATTGGCCCTGCCAGCGTCTTCCAGCACGCCACGAGGGTCGCTAAGGGGGGGCTGTCCTGTCCGGTAGCTCCGCACATGTGTCCCCAGCACGTTTTTTATATATATATATATATCTCCCTCTCCTGAGCAAACCGAGCTGCCATGCCCACTCTTAACCATTTTTGTCATACCGACGATACCTAAGACAAAGACTTCAGCTTTGATTCACAGTTTAATGGCTCTAAGACAGTGTGGTAATTTATACCATGCTTGCTGGAATCTTCTCCTGCTTTTCCCTTTTATTTCACCAGATCCTGCTAGTATCGGATGAAGAAGCCAGTGTTTCACACGTGGAGTTGCTGTACTCAGTCAGGTAAACAGATACTTCTCTTGGCAATTACCAGTGTTAGTGATATGAAGGATCTTACTTACACCTCCCTTTATTCTGGTCTGTAGAAGCAACCCTGGGACTTCGGCATCGAAACACAAGCCATTTCCAAGAATACTTGGAGTGTGTGTAAGCAATATCTTTTACATCAAAAAACTCCAGGTTTGGGGATATGTGATACAAAACTGGAGCTGGACTTTCCAGTTCTGTAAATGTTCATAAACTGGTGGAGGTACAGGGGGTCCGGCCGCAGGGGGACAGATGGCGTCTGTTGCTGTCGCCAGCATAATGGCGAAGAAAGCAGCACTCAGTGGGATCCCAGGCCTCTCAGTCCTGGCTTTAATCTCTTTATACATACCTGCCTTTCCACAGTAGAAAGTTCTTGGACTCCCTGGGGCTCCAGTGAACCATCTGGGCTGGTCCCAGTACGCTCTGCTGGGTTTTCTGGTCAAAATGCCTTGGTGAACTCCCTGGCTACAGCACACTGCTGAGGCCTTTCCCATATTTCAGATCGTACCTCCTCAAGCCAGTCCCTGTGACTGTGCTTTTATGTGGTCTCATGGTCAAGCGGGAGTGTAAATGCATGGCACTATGCACACCTCTCATGCCCCCCCAAATGAATATTTTGCCAATGTCCTGAGTCCCAGTGGAAGAAGAAATGTGGAGGTAGCACAGTGAGTGAAACTGGAACACAGAGACTTTTCTTCTCTTGCAGTTTTATTTCACTTCAGAAAAATAGCATCTAGAATGGGACATAACGTGGGAAATTGGGCAGGAAGGGCCTGCCTTCAGTTCCCACGACAGGCGTTCAGAAGGATTTGTAGGGCTGATCCTAAGTGACTGTGTCATCCTCCTCCTCCTCCTCCTCCCCCTTTGAAGTGTGGACTGCGTAGACAACAGCACAGACACCAGCCAGCCAGGCTGCCACGGTGCCAGCAAAGAATATGCAGAAGCCAATGAGACACAGAAAGATGTAGTCTTGCTTGTACAGCTGGGTCAGGCAGTTGAAGTGGAGCTGTGTCTCCACTGCAGGCATTTTCAGGGCACGGAGGCCTTCTGGGGTGTAGCAGGTGATGTTGTCAGCATCTGCAGAGGGAAAAGCAGAAGCAAGACTCTCTTGCCTGTGTCTTAAGCATTAATGATCAGTAGTCCTGCTAAAAAAACCCCTTGCTAAACTCCTGAAAAATATTTACAGACTTCACACCCCCCTTCCTCCATGGCTTAGGTAAAAGCGGACAGGCAAACCCTTGCCAAACCACAATTGCCCTGTTGCCAGAATGATTTCTGGTGGTGTTGCCTCCATAGGAAAATATTGCCTGTCAGACTATGCCACTGTGGCAAAATGCTGTCCCTGCACTGTTCACCTCTGCTGACTGAGCACTTTTATCTTAATTTAAGAGCACTTGTGTTTGTTCCTTTTAATCTCAAACACCTTCTGAAGTGATATAGCCTAAATTATGCTGGAATAATGAGGCTTGTGCACAGGGAGTCAAGTTTGACAACAAGAGTGGTTTGCAGTTAGGCATAGCCTCACCTGCTCTGTGAGAGAAGAGGAGGAAACTCATCAATGATTCATTTCCACTGAAATAATGACTATACCCTGTCGTATTGTAATATACGTGGTGATAAACCAGATGCTGGATTTTCCCTCTGAAGTTAGCAAAGGCTGAGTGAGCGTGGTAAAAAGCACTGTCTCCTTTTGATGTCTGTAGAAGCACAGCGTGCTCTCAGCCATGGCCCTCTCCTTTACCTGCAGGTTTTGAATTCCTCAGACCAGACACAGTCACTGTGCTAGACACAGGCTGGTCACTGCATGATGCGCTGGATGGATGCGCCTGAGAAAAAGGGAAGCAGTGGAGACGAACAAGCTACAGGGGATTTATATTATATTACATTACATTACTTCGTATATTACTGAGGGATATAGCTACAGTGGTGTTCATGCTGATATCTCTCATTGTCCTGAGTATAACTGGAGAGCTTTTATATCTCTATTACCCAAATCCATCTAGACCTGGGCAACTTCATGTCAGCACCTAGACTGCACAGATCCAGCTAAGCACAAAACACTCACACAAAGGTGTTCTGTAAATCAGCAGTAGCTTTTTAAAGGCCAGGATGGGGATCTGCTTGCAGCAGATTTCAGGGCTTGGTCCCAACATCCCTTTGCACTGGAGCTGTCAGCTCCTGTCACAACCCTCGGTTTTGGGCCATCTCAGTCCCAACAAAGAGGGAGCTGCCTTTCCCTGCCTAAAGGCAGGCGGGTGTTTGTGATACAGTGTCCAGCCTGCATACACTTACTGGCAGTGTGAAAATTTTGCACAGCGTGAAAGTTTTGCACAGCCCTCACACCAGTCCCGGGAGGCACATGGCCTCCTGTGGACTCACCCACAGCATCTCACCAGGACACAGCAAAGCCCAAGAGAGCAGGGAAGTGGAGCAGCCTCAGCAGGCTCCCTGGTTTCTTTGGCTTTCCCATTTTCCAGAGGAGAGTGCAGGGATCCATACTTATACCCCCAGTCTTTCCTGCCACTGCCTTTCCTACTCCTACCCTCCCAAATTGCCTGCAATGAGCTTTATTCTCCTGTTCCAGGGTTCAGTGAGTTATCTCTAATCTTACTGCTAAGAACAGTACTTTTTTACACTGTTCCATAACTGCCTGTAACCTGCATGTGGAAATTAAAAGACTTTACAATCTATGGGGAGCTTACTACACCTAGTAAGACACAGAGATGTCCTTAATTAGGTTCTGTCCTAACACTAGCTTCCATTTGCCATTCCCTTTTCTCCCCATGGGCTCTTTTGTGGCCCTTTCTTATTTGATGGACACTTTCTCAAACAGTTTCTCTTTTGCAGCTCTCTCACCATTCTGTCATGCATTACTGAAAACCAAGCTTTCTTTGTTAGCAGGTGCTGTGCTATGTTCCTTTTCAGTTTGGAAAAATCGAGTTCATGTGCTGCAGCTGCAGAGCAAAGCTTTGCCCTTGGGACCAGTGTTTTTCTGGGAAAGGGAACTGGTGATTACCCTGCCTCATGAACACTCAGCGTCCATGGCCCAGTTGTAGAATGCCTCAATATGATGCGAAACAGCTGATTTTGTGATCCTAGATGATGTAAGGAAAGAAGTCTTGGAGACCCTGTATTCAAGAAATGGCTTTTATTCAGAAGCAAGCTGCACTCTGCTGCTGCAGCCTGTGGGACTCAGTGCTCACCTGCATTGCACATACATTTCTTATTTTGGAAAACTTCAAATAAAAGACAGCCAATTTGCTCTGGGGTTCTGGAGGAAGAGGGGGAACATATGGAGCCTCCCAGCCATAAGGATACAGAGGCTTTTCTGAGCACAACTTGTGTTCTGTTTCACTCTGACCATCAAATGTCAGCTGGGACCCAAACGAAAGCTCCCATGGGAACAGCAAAAGGTCTCTTGCTGACTTCTGAGCATTGGGTCACAGTTTGACACAGAGAATCAGTGAAATGTACCTGCTCTGAGGGCTGAGGAGCACCATGACAGCTGGAGGTTGCAGGATTTGTAATTTTTATCTATCTTAGAACAACACCTGCTGTGCTCTTAAGGCAAAGGGTATGGTGTACACTCTTCATGTACAGAAATAGGTCAGTGGGGAGTAGGGTGTGATCACAGCCCCACAGAATTCAGCAGCTAAACTCTCAATGGCTTCCACACTACCCAAACTTTTCCCGGAGACCCCGTCAGTGAGGGATGAGAGCAGAAGAGGAGCTGACTGGCTTTCAACCCAGCTTTGTTTCCAGCATTGAGCAGAATGGTTGCTGCAGAGGTTGCACAAATGAGGTCTACCTGCCAGGCACGTTGTGCACAAGAGGCTAGCAGGAGGTGTTCGAGGTGAAGGGGACACTGGCCAAACAGTGGAGAACTCAGGGCTGGAGACGTTGCCCTGAACAAGTCAGAACAGAGGCAGGAGAGCAATTCCACAGAGTGGGGGGTTAACCAATCATTACAGACATACTGGTACTGCAGCAGCACCAAGCGATCAGAGCAGCTGGAGCCAAGGCAGGAAATTCAGAGCAGCAGCTTTCCCAGCGCAGATCTCCCCAGAGCCACGTTGGGCTCCTCGTTCTTGACGCTGCAGCCCCAGGGTGCTGTGACTCGCAGGCACAGGGACACCTCCTGAGGCCGGAGCCAGGCGTTTTGGAGCAGCAGCAATGTCCTAGCTACAGGCTACACCTCCCTGACTGTCCTGAGGGTGTGAGCAACTGTGACCCTCTGTGGGTGAAGCGCGTGTAACCCAGCTGCTCTGATCCATGTTTTGTGCAACACCAGAAGATGGGACCCACAGTCAACGTGCAGCGGCACAGCCTTGTGAGCTGAAGTTCTGGGAAAGAGAACAGAGGGCCCCATCCATTCCACACAGATCTGCAGGAGGAGGGAGGTCCTGCTCACACAGCTCTCACCTGGAAAAAGAACGTTGCTCTCTGTCATCCAGGTGATGAAGTCCAAAAAGGAACAGTTGCAGTGCCACAGGTTGTCACTGAGCCCCAGAAACCTCAGGTTGGGCAGGTCCCGGACAGTGCTGGTGTCCAGGAACTTTAAGCCTGTCCGGCTCACATCCAGGTGCCTCAGCCAGGTGTTGTTGGCAAAAGCATCCTTCTCGATGGCTACAAGGTTGGGATTGTCCGAGATCTTCAGCACCACCAGGCTGAGGAGGTGTGAGAAGGTGCTGAAGGTGACCTGTGTGAGGTTGTTGAAGCTGAGGTCCAGATAGACAAGCTTGGCCACACCAATGAATGTGAAATCCAGGTCATCCCCCAAGAGGTTCTTCCTGCAGTCCAGATAGACCAAATCAGCCAAGAAGCTCAATTCCACTGCTGGCAGGTACGAGATGTTGTTTGCCGCCAGAATCAGCTGCCTGGTGTCCAGCGGGATGGCCGCAGGGAACTCCTGCAACTGCTGGCCTGTGCAGTTCACTTCCAGGTACTGACAGCTACACCTGCTTGGGCAGTTGATCCTCTCCGATGCCATCCCCATCCCCAAAAGAAACACGAGGCTCAGGGGCTGTGGTCTACCTGAAGGAGACATGGTCTAAGACCTTCCAGGCCACTCAGCCCTTTGGGGACTGCAAGCAGCCCTATGGAAGCTGCATTACCATCACAGCCATGCCGAGGAGGTGTCCAGCTGCAAGGCTGTCGGGAAGCGCTTTGTGTCCGTGACTCAGCTGACTCCTTGGCAGAGTGCCTGGCTGGAAACCGAGCCCGGTTTCTACATTGGCAAGTGTGGAACGATGGCTGGAGCGTCTCCATGTCGCACTCAGTGCCAGCTGACACCTCTGTGATGTCAACGGCTTGCAAAAGCTGCCCGGCTTCGAGGACAGTGCCGTGACCTCGCTGGCCGAGTGGGCACCGCTTTCGGCCGAGTGGAGGTGCGGGGAAGGCGTGCATCAGGTGAGAGCATCGAAACTGTGCAGGGTGGGTGTGAACGGTGCAATTTTTTCCACAAATGGTGTCAAAATCCGAGCGGTGGTCACTTGTGCCCTGTGCAATGCGCTGGATTGGCTTTGTCTCCTTTCTGGAGGCCGGAGAAGGCAGCTAAGGAGGTTCTTCCAGAGGCGTTTTTACCGAGAAGAAATTCTCCAAAGCCGCCTCAGCTCCCTCTGCTGACTTGCCACGGCGTTCCTCCGCCTGCCCACCCCTCAGCAGGAGGGTCCGCCCTGCCCCCGACAGAGGGCCGC